AAAAATATGTTAATACTAACCTTTTCACATAGTTTCATACTATCAAACATTGAACAGGATTTTCCACTTTTAAAAGTAAGTTTGGAATGTTATAACGCATCTGAATTTAAGTTTGGAGCGATATTTGTGACACTTTTAAAGTTATTATTAGGAATGAGATTTTTAAATTGGCTTATTATTTTGCTTTGTATTATATCATTTACAGGATGTTTTTGCACTACTATCTCATCATTTAAAAATTTGTGTTTCACTTCAGCTGGACATTTTTTACATTTCTTAATATGCATCGCCATTCTTGTTCCACTTTTTGACATAATGTCATTGCAAAAAGAACATTGAACTCTCTCCATTTTGCTTACCTGGATAGCTGGCTTAAATAAAGTGCTCACAGTTGTTTTTGTTCTACCACCAGTATGGCAACATACCACCTTTTTACTATTAATGCTCATATTTTTTAAATATTAGACCTAATAACTAGAAATCTGCCAAATTAATGATTAGAACCTTGATATTGTAAAATATAATTGATAATTTAGTTATTAATGAAATACAATTATAAAAGTTAACTTAAATTTATTGTTGATATAATTAATTGTAAACTGGTACATTATTTTATAGTTTACAAATAAAATTTAATTAATAGTACAGAAAATTAAAAAAAAAGAAGAAGATACCAAGTAAAGTTTGATGAACAAAAAACTACTATTAAAACTGTGCCAAAGTATCATTGAAACTTAAAATACTTTTACATTTTGCAATGCAGTGGTATTTCATTCATAAGATTATAATATTTTTTTCTTTTTTCATTCATTCTATTAAATAAATGTGTTTTTAATTTTGAGGAAAAATTTGTTAAAGAAAATAGTTCTTATCTTAAAAAACATTTCTGCGTTAAAAAAACAAAAAGTTCTCTCTGTTATATTGCTACTATATTTTATTAAAAAAAGATTTGTTAAATGATCTTTTTATCTTTTATTTTTATATTTTATTTTTAACGTAATATGAAATTGTAAAGTAGGTTATTAAAGAACAACTACTGAAACTGATTAATGAACAACTGAAGAATTTATAGTTAGTAATTGGAGAACAATTGCTGATATTGTTTGATGAAAATTTTAAAAAAACAATACTTTTATTCATGATAATGGTAAATAGAAAAATAGAAATGTCATTTGGTTCTTGTTTTTTGGCCAAAAAAACGTTTTTTTTGGAAAAAAAACGACTTACATCTCTAATTGTAATAATAATAGTATTAATAAAAACAGCAGTAATGAAAGTAATAAATATTAATGACGAAAATAATAAAGTTTCTTTAGAAATAGTGAGAAAAAAAAAAAGAAAACTAAAGAAAGTTAATAATGATAAAAATAAAACTTTTTTTAGAATTTGTTTAAATTTATTTTATTTTAAATAAAGAAATGAAGATAAATTATTTTGAAATTTCAATTTTTCAAACTCATTCACAATGCACACAAGACTTCTATTCAATTCAATGATGCACTGATGTGTAATTGAATACTTACCATACCTCAAAATTTTATAGGGAGGTACATTTAGTTTTCTATTGTTGATGTTTCTAGTCAACTGTGAATGTATAAATTAAGTTTCAGTGAGGAAGATTGTAATAGAGGAAGGTAAATTTTTATTAAGGGAGTCAAAAAAAAAAGAAGATTAACAAATTTAACTAGTGTTGACAAGATAGGAATTTTAAGTTTTTTTACAAATTTTGAAGTTTCTGTATTGTGGAGTTAAAAATTATTTGGATTGATTGGCGCTGAGCTGATAACAATTTATTAATATTACAGTTGCCAATTTGTCCCCAAACTTGACAACAGTAGATGAGATGAGATTGAAAAATTGCAAAATACAGATTCTTAAGGGTAGTTTTATTAACATAATGGCGAATTATTGAAAGCATGTCATTAAGTTTTGATTAAGTTTTTTACGGAGTGCATCTATATGAAAATTCCATTTATATAAAAATACCAAGATATTTAACAACGTGTATTGGATATAAACGTTTATTATTGATTTTAATTTTAGTTATATGATTGTTGTATAAAAGTTTTTGTCTTGGAGATGAAAAAAATATTAGTTCAGTTTTTTCCAAGTTCAGAGAAATTAAGTTTGCATTTAGCCAATGAACTTAACCTTTTAGGTCTAAGTTTATATTCTTACACAAGGAATGATGAGACTTATTAATATGCAAGATATAAGTATCACCAGCAAAAAGATAGACTGATGAGAAGTGGGCAGAATTATTTAGATCATTAATATAAATCAAAAACAATAGGCCATAATAATAAGGGCCAAGAACAGAACCATGGGGAACATAACAAACTATTTGTTTGTTATTTGATTTGTAACCATTAATGCTAACAAACTGCTTTCAATTTGAAAGATAAGATTTAATCTAGTTACAAGCAACTCCTCGGATTCCGTAATGTTCAAGTTTAGAAATTAAAATGGTATGATTAACAATATCGAATGCTTTTTGTAG